TAATTACTTAACATTTTTCAGTTTTAAACCATTATCAGTGATGAGTAGATATCATGCAAATAGCGAAAATAATTAAGCGGAAGACAAAATCTGACAATTTATCTTAATACAAAACTGCGGAAGTCTAAATACAACTCTACCCAGAATTTGGTGTCACAGCTTCATAAACGGTCTAAGAATACTACATACAAAGTCTGAAAGATAAAATATACACTGTTTCTGAAATGAGTAAAGGAAACATGATAAAGGAAAAGATAGGAGGTGACGCCAAGACCCGCGGACGTCTGCAGGACTACTTCGTGTCGCCTGTGTGGGCTGAAGACAACACCCTCACTGCGGTCCAAGCACTCCGGTATCAATATCTGCACACAGTGCAGAGTGTAGTATCAGCACAACCGACCCCATGTGCTGGTAAGTGCCTAGCCTAACCTCGGCGAAGTAGTGACGAGGCTAGGACCAGATTACCAAATAAACATGTGCAATATAGCGTACAAAAATAATAGGAAGTAGATAACAATGATGACAACAATGATCAACCAGTGATATAATTAGCAGGCAACAAGAACACCATAAATGTTTCTCAACAAATAATAGATACAAGTGCAATCAATTTATCAAGTCCTTCAAATATAAATCTTTCGCCTATAAATCCTTCAAGTAATAATCTCTAAGATAATATGTTTTTCAATGAATACATTTCGAATATATTTCCTTTAAATAAATATCTTTTAAATAAGCATCTTTCGAATATAATTCTTTCGAGTAAAGGTCACCTTGTGACACCTAGAGTACAGCTTCCAACCCAATCAGGAAATCAACAAGAAAAGATGAAGTTATTTTTTAGAAATCATTTGATAAAAAAGATACCCTTTTCAATTAAAGTACAATATCGAATGAATCATTACCTTTAATACGAGAAATCAATAAATCAAAACATAGTAGAAATTCCTTTTTAAGTAAAGTACAACCTCAAACGGTTTAAGAAAAATTTAGTTGAGAAATCAATTGAGTTAAAAATATAACAACTGTTGAAATTTGGAGTATTGAACTTAAAAAAAAGGTAAAAACAGAATATCGAGAGAATTATAAAGGAATCAAAATCCAACCACTAACAAGAATAAGGAAAACAAAGGCAGATTTCACTTTCTTTTCACATCTTGTTGCAGGTGTGCAACCCGATCCCATTTCCTGTATCTCGTGGCAGACGTGCCACCCGCTCCCATTTCATGTATCTCGTGGTAGGCGTACCACCCGCTCCCATTTCATTATATCTTGTGGTAGGCATACCACCCGCTCCCATTTCATTATATCTTGTGGTAGGCATACCACCCGCTCCCATTTACAAGCCAACAATAATCACAAGGAATCCCGGCAAGGGAACAAGAGCAATATAACAACTTCCCGGCAAGGGAACAATGATATTTTAACAACATCCCGGCAAAGGAACAATACTATCAAAACAAATATCCCGACAAGGGAACAATGGTGATAATAACATATGAAGCGCAATAAACCACAACGGAGTCATAATAATTATAATACAAGACTCACGGGCATGCTTGACACCAACGTATAGATACTCGTTACCATGCCTATACGTCGTACTCCACAATTAACATGTAGCAAATAAGACACAACTCATAATCCCTCAAGCTAAGGTTAGACCAAACACTTACCTCGCTTTGCAACCAATTTAAAATTTCAACAAGCCTTTGCCTCGCGAATTCGTGCCCGAAATTCTCAAATCTAGTACACTATATTAAAAGCAAGAAGGCCCTAAGTGAAATGTCGTTCGTCTTTTTTATCCTTTTAAAATAAAGTTTACATTGGACAAAATAGTAATTTAACTTATTTTCCTAATATGTAAAAATAGTCATTTTATTATTTTCCTAATACTTAGGAGTTTGAAATCAATTAAAACTTTAAATATCAAAGCTTTCCTTATTTAAATCACTATGTAAAATTCTAATTTTTAGGATTTAAAATCAACTAAATAAATATCAAACAATTCGTTTATAACATCTTTTTGTAACTAGACATACAAATTAGGAATGTAAATATAATTTGATATAGAATTTTAAAGTTCCATTGGATGTGCACTTTTATTCCAAATTAAATATTTAAACTATTGTATATACAGTAATTTGTATAAAATTGAGTATCTCCGTACATGTACTTCTAGCACAAGTTAGAGTTGGTGGCGTCCAAGAAAACCATCGTGCTTACACATTCGTGTTTATGCTATTTTCGTAAAATATTAACTCAACATTAAGTATTTTTAAACTTTTATTATAACTTATAAATTTTTTCCTAGGAGTTATAAGACCAACTTCTTTATTCCCAAATCTCTAAAAGATAAAAAAATTAAATTTTTCGATATTTGATAAACACAACAAGACATTGAGGATTTATGTAGAGCTGAAATTTTTCTTTATTGAGTTAGTTAAATGGGATCAATATTCATCATTTTTTGGAACTTACATTTTCTTGTTAAAATTTTATTTAATAACTTAAACATATTCCTTAATAACCGGAAAAGGGTCAAATATACACTTGTACTATCAAAAAAAAAAAAATTAAATGTGCCACTCGTTATCTTTTGAGTCCAAATATATCCATATCGTCATACTTTGAGTCTAAATAAACCCCTATCGTTATACTATTGGTTTAAATATACCCTTTTCCGTTAAGTTTGTCCAAAGTAGACATCCAATCCTACATGACATTAACATTTGATGAGGCAAATGTCACATGGCTTGCCACCTCAGCGCCTCTAACCCATTTTATCCCTCCTATATTTTTTCCACCATTAAAATTTACTCTCCTCCCCCCTATCCCCCACCCCCAACCAACCACTATTGTCACAATTACCATTACCATAAAAAATAGGCAAAATACATAAGTTGCCACTTGACCTATGGTCCAAATCCCTGTTACATACTTTCTAGGAACGAATATTACTTTACACACCCAACCTTTCCAAAGTGTATCTAAGACACACCACTTTTAACAGCTGGCGCGCGTGTGTTTTACACAAAAAAGAGGCGAGTGAATGTAAAACTTTCGAGTCTAAACCATTATCTAAATGCCATATGTCCCCAGCCTTTGTTATTTTTTTCTTTTCTATTTTTAGTTATTTCATCTCCAAATAATTTGGTCTCTTTTCCACACACCCCCACCCGTTTTCTTTTTCCCCTGGATACCTACTCTGTCATCTCCATTAATTAAACTCTGAAACACAAAAATAGTTTTAGAGCTAGGTCCAAGTTTCAAATTAATTAGTCATCTCCTTCAAGTTTAAATATTTTTAGATCTGCTAATGAAATCAGTGACTGATTTCTCCATTTGTTTTCATAATTTTGTTTTTAGATCTGCTTATTTTTTCTTTGACTTCAAAATTTTAAATTTTTTTGAATGGGTGTGAAGAAAGGGTTTATAGTGTAAGTTTTGCTCTAAAAATTATGGCGATAGTGATGGATGTCATGACCAACACTTAAAGCACCATGTGAAAGATCTATGTGAATATTGGTCATGACGATAGTGGTGGTTGCCATGGCCAACACTTGATTCATGTGAATTTTTTTTTCCTGGTGGGTATTTCCATGACTGTGGGATTTTAGAGGAGGCTTGGTGGGTATTTCCATGGAGTTTAGAGGAGGCTTGGTGTGGGAGTTTAAAGAAGATGAGAGACGGGG